TGTTCTTTGTCTCCCATTCTGAATTTCTTTGTTCTTTGTCCCATTCTAAGTTTCTTTCTTTGTCTCCCATTCTGAATTTCTTTGTTCTTTTGTCTCCCATTCTGAATTTCTTTTGTTCTTTGTCTCCCATTCTGAATTTCTTTTGTTCTTTGTCTCCCATTCTGAATTTCTTTTTCTTTTCCCATTCTTTTCTTTGTTCTTTGTCTCCCATTCTGAATTTCTTTGTCTCCCATTCTGAATTTCTTTGTTCCCATTCTGAATTTTTTGTCTCCCATTCTGAATTTCTTTGTTCTTTGTCTCCCATTCTGAATTTCTTTGTTCTTTGTCTCCCATTCTGAATTTCTTGTCTCCCATTCTGAATTTCTTTGTTCTCCCATTCTGAATTTCTTTGTTCTTTGTCTCCCATTCTGAATTTCTTTGTTCTTTGTCTCCCATTTCTTTTCTCCCATTCTGAATTTCTTTGTTCTTTGTCTCCCATTCTGAATTTCTTTGTTCTTTGTCTCCCCATTCTGAATTTCTTTGTTCTTTGTCTCCCATTCTGAATTTCTTTTTCTTTGTCTCCCATTCTGAATTTCTTTGTTCTTTATCCCCATTCTGAATTTTCTTTTCTCTCCCATTCTGAATTTCTTTTTTGTCTCCCATTCTGAATTTCTTTGTTCTTTGTCTCCCATTCTTTTTGTTCTTTGTCTCCCATTCTGAATTTCTTTGTTCTTTGTCTCCCATTCTGAATTTCTTTGTCTCCCATTCTGAATTTCTTTGTTCTTTTGTCCCATTCCCATTTCTTTGTTCTTTGTCTCCCATTCTGAATTTCTTTGTTCTTTGTCTCCCATTCTGAATTTCTTTGTTCTTTGTCTCCCATTCTGAATTTCTTTGTTCTTTGTCTCCCATTCTGAATTTCTTTGTTCTTTGTCTCCCATTCTGAATTTTCTTTGTTCTTTGTCTCCCATTCTGAATTTCTTTTGTCTCCCATTCTGAATTTCTTTGTTCTTTGTCTCCCATTCTGAATTTTCTTTGTTCTTTTCTCCCATTCTGAATTTCTTTGTTCTTTCTCTCCCCATTCTGAATTTCTTTGTTCCCATTTGTCTCCCATTCTGAATTTGTTCTTTGTCTCCCATTTCTTTGTTCTTTGTCTCCCATTCTAAATTTCTTTGTTCTTTGTCTCCCATTCTGAATTTCTTTGTTCTTTGTCTCCCATTCTGAATTTCTTTGTCTCCCATTTGAATTTCTTTGTCTCCCATTCTGAGTTTTTTGTCTCCCATTCTGAATTTCTTTGTTCTTTGTCTCCCATTCTGAATTTCTTTGTTTTGTCTCCCATTCTGAATTTCTTTGTTGTCTCCCATTCTGAATTTCTTTGTTCTTTGTCTCCCATTCTGAATTTCTTTGTTCTTTGTCTCCCATTCTGAATTTCTTTTTTCATTTTGTTCTTTGTCTCCCATTCTGAATTTCTTTGTCTCCCATTCTGAATTTCTTTGTCTCCCATTCTGAATTCATTCTGAATTTCTTTGTTCTTTATCTCCCATTCTAAATTTCTTTGTTCTTTGTCTCCCATTCTGAATTTCTTTGTTCTTTGTCTCCCATTCTATTTCTTTGTTCATTTTGTCTCCCATTCTTTCTTTGTTCTTTGTCTCCCATTCTGAATTTCTTTGTTCTTTGTCTCCCATTCTGAATTTCTTTGTTCTTTGTCTCCCATTCTGAATTTCTTTTGTTCTTTGTTCCCATGTCTCCCATTCTGAATTTCTTTGTCTCCCATTCTGAATTTCTTTGTTCTTTGTCTCCCATTCTTTGTTTTCTTTGTTCTTTGAATTTCTTTCCCATTCTGAATTTTTCTTTGTTCTGAATTTCTTTGTTCTTTGTCTCCCATTCTGAATTTCTTTGTTCTTTGTCTCCCATTTGTTTTGTTCTTTGTCTCCCATTCTGAATTTCTTTGTTCTTTGTCTCCCATTCTGAATTTCTTTGTTCTTTGTCTCCATTCTGAATTTCTTTTGTTCTTTGTCTCCCATTCTGAATTTCTTTGTCTCCCTTTGTTCTTTGTCTCCCATTCTGAATTTCTTTGTTCTTTGTCTCCCATTCTGAATTTCTTTGTTCTTTGTCTCCCATTCTGAATTTCTTTGTTCTTTGTCTCCCATTCTGAATTTCTTTGTTCTTTGTCTCCCATTCTGAATTTCTTTGTTCTTTGTCTCCCATTCTAAGTTTCTTTGTTCCTTGTCTCCCATTCTGAATTTCTTTGTTCTTTGTCTCCCATTCTGAATTTCTTTGTTCTTTGTCTCCCATTCTGAATTTCTTTGTTCTTTGTCTCCCATTCTGAATTTCTTTGTTCTTTGTCCCATTCTGAATTTCTTTGTTCTTTGTCTCCCATTCTGAATTTCTTTGTTCTTTGTCTCCCATTCTGAATTTTCTTTGTTCTGAATTTCTTTGTCTCCCATTCTGAATTTCTTTGTTCTTTGTCTCCCATTCTGAATTTCTTTGTTTTTGTCTCCCATTTCTGAATTCCCATTTGAATTTCTTTGTTCTGAATTTCTTTTTTTGTCTCCCATTCTGAATTTCTTTGTTCTTTGTCTCCCATTCTGAATTTCTTTGTTCTTTGTCTCCCATTCTGAATTTCTTTGTTCTTTTGTCTCCCATTCTGAATTTCTTTTTCTTTGTTCTTTGTTCATTTGTCTCCCATTCTGAATTTCTTTTGTTCTTTGTCTCCCATTCTGTTCTTTTGTTTTGTCTCCCATTTGAATTTCTTTGTCTCCCATTCTGAATTTCTTTGTTCTTTGTCTCCCATTCTGAATTTCTTTGTTCTTTGTCTCCCATTCTGTTCTTTTTCCCATTTTGTTCTTTGTCTCCCATTCTGAATTTCTTTGTTCTTTGTCTCCCATTCTGAATTTCTTTGTTCTTTGTCTCCCCATTCTGAATTTCTTTGTTCTTTGTCTCCCATTCTGAATTTCTTTGTTCTTTGTCTCCCATTCTGAATTTCTTTGTTCTTTGTCTCCCATTCTGAATTTCTTTGTTCTTTGTCTCCCATTCTGAATTCTTTGAATTTCTTTGTTCTTTGTCTCCCATTCTGAATTTCTTTGTTCTTTGTCTCCCATTCTGAATTTCTTTGTTCTTTGTCTCCCATTCTGAATTTCTTTTGTCTCCCATTCTGAATTTCTTTGTTCTTTGTCTCCCATTCTGAATTTCTTTTTGTTCTTTGTCTCCCATTCTGAATTTCTTTGTTCTTTTGTCCCATTCTGAATTTCTTTGTTCTTTGTCTCCCATTCTGAATTTCTTTGTTCTTTGTCTCCCATTCTGAATTTCTTTTTCTTTTTCTTTGTCTCCCATTCTGAATTTCTTTGTTCTTTGTCTCCCATTCTGAATTTCTTTTTTTTTTTGTCTCCCATTCTTTTGTTCTTTTTCTTTGTTCTTTGTCTCCCATTCTGAATTTCTTTTTCTTTGTCTCCCATTTGAATTTCTTTTTCTTTGTCTCCCATTCTGAATTTCTTTTTCTTTGTCTCCCATTCTTTTCTTTGTCTCCCATTCTGAATTTCTTTGTTCTTTTCTCCCATTCTGAATTTCTTTTGTTCTTTGAATTTCTTTGTTCATTTGAATTTCTTTGTTCTTTGTTCTTTGTCTCCCATTCTGAATTTCTTTTGTTCTTTGTCTCCCATTCTGAATTTCTTTGTTCTTTGTCTCCCATTCTGAATTTCATTTTGTTCTTTGTCTCCCATTCTGAATTTCTTTGTTCTTTGTCTCCCATTCTGAGTTTCTTTGTTTCTCCCATTCTGAATTTCTTTGTTTTGTCTCCCATTCTGAATTTCTTTGTTCTTTGTCTCCCATTCTGAATTTCTTTGTTCTTTGTCTCCCATTCTGAATTTCTTTTGTTCTTTGTCCCATTCTGAATTTCTTTTTCTCTTTTTCTTTTGTTTTGTCTCCCATTCTGAATTTCTTTTTCTTTTTCTTTTGTTTTGTCTCCCATTCTGAATTTCTTTGTTCTCCCATTCTTGAATTTCTTTCTGAATTTCTTTGTTCTTTGTCTCCCATTCTGAATTTCTTTGTTCTTTGTTCTTTGTTCTCCCATTCTGAATTTCTTTGTTCTTTGTCTCCCATTCTGAATTTCTTTGTTCTTTGTCTCCCATTCTGAATTTCTTTGTTCTTTGTCTCCCATTCTGAATTTCTTTGTTCTTTGTCTCCCATTCTGAATTTCTTTGTCTCCCATTCTGAATTTCTTTGTCTCCCATTCTGAATTTCTTTGTTCTTTGTCCCATTCTAAATTTCTTTGTTCTTTGTCTCCCATTCTAAGTTTCTTTGTTCTTTTGTCTCCATTTGAATTTCTTTGTTCTTTGTCTCCCATTTCTTTGTCTCCCATTCTGAATTTCTTTGTCTCCCATTCTGAATTTCTTTGTTCTTTATCTCCCATTCTAAGTTTCTTTGTTCTTTGTCTCCCATTCTGAATTTCTTTGTTCTTTGTCTCCCATTCTGAATTTCTTTGTCTCCCATTCTGAATTTCTTTGTTCTTTGTCTCCCATTCTGAATTTCTTTGTTCTTTGTCTCCCATTCTAAGTTTCTTTGTTCTTTGTCTCCCATTCTGAATTTCTTTGTTCTTTGTCTCCCATTCTGAATTTCTTTGTTCCTTGTCTCCCATTCTGAATTTCTTTGTTCTTTGTCTCCCATTCTAAGTTTCTTTGTTCTTTGTCTCCCATTCTAAGTTTCTTTGTTACTTGTCTCCCATTCTAAGTTTCTTTGTTCCTTGTCTCCCATTCTGAATTTCTTTGTTCCTTGTCTCCCATTCTGAATTTCTTTGTTCCTTGTCTCCCATTCTGAATTTCTTTGTTCTTTGTCTCCCATTCTGAGATTCTTTGATAAAGATAACAACTACAAAACAATCCTTACTATAAACCAATTTTAATGTTAACCTTTTTCGCTTTTAATTATTTTTATATTATTTTTTATAATTGTTTTATTAAATTTAAATCTGTTTTATGATAAAAGATTAAGTCTTTTATTTAAAAAATGTTTTCATATTTTTATTTCAGAGAGAAAATTTTCCTTTACCGAGTTCTTCAGGGATTTTTGCATTCTCATGGCAAACACTTTCCAACTTTGATCAATTCTTGAGCTGAGGAAGTCTTTGGAAATTAAATTATATAAAGTTAATATCTTGCCAATAACATTTGATAAACAATATTTATAACATTATCCTGACAAAAATATATTCTCAACAATTCATACCAATGTCTTTACTGATCTGCATGTGTCCTGGGTATGACGATAAAATACATCTAGCAGCAAAACCTCTGATCGGGAGATTTTGAGGGATGTGGAAGCACCTCTTAATTGCCCTTGTCCTCAGGACCACCCTGACCTGGGATGGTAGCACCTGTTAAGATCCTAACTATGGGCAAATTACCCTCCTCCAAACTGGGGTCAAAACAATATGAAAGTTTAAAAATACCAGCAATACATTTTCATGGTAAAAAAATTACCAGTGATACATTTCTGTAAAAGAAATTATAAATACTCCCAAGAAAATTAAATTTTGGCATAAAATGACCCATAAGGAGTTGATATGCCACTAAACAAACAAACAAATCTACATAATAATGTGATTTACTAATATTTACATACCACATTTGGTTGCATATTAGATTTACCACCCTTTAAAACAAAAAAAGAAATGGCTCAAAAAATATTTCCTGTGTCTTATATATGAAGTTGGGGAATCTGGTAGACTAACGTTTGCCTAGATACCATAGACTGCATGTACTTTTACCTAGCCTCATTCCATAATTGAATATAAATGGTTGTTAAGTGGTGTTACATACCATCAAATATATATCACTAACTTCTAACTCACTGTGATTTACCTTATCTGGTATAGCACACTGGTTACCGTATCAAATTTAAGAGCGTGAGTTCTTCACTTTTTTTCTTCATTGGTCTGCTTTGTTTAACAACTTGGGATAAGGTTTGATGTTAGAATGAAAAGAAATGTAAAAGGTTCTTCTCAAAACCGAAGTGGAAAGGAGATGGGTGCTGATATATTGTCAAATATTGTTGATTGTTGACCAAAAGAAGTATCTTAGCAACCCAATATGGCTAAATTAATATTTTATACCAAAAGATTAATTTGTACAATTTATAAAAATTTATATACCAGCCGTAATTTGCAAGTATGTTTATGTGTGCGCCATTTGTCTCCAACTAAAACTCCCCGAACAAGGGGGATAACTCCGTACGGTTATCTCCCTTAGTTGACCACGCCACAGGAGTAAGATAATAATCAAACAATAAATGAGGGTTTCTATAATTTTTTTTTTTTTTTTAATGTGTATCATGGGCATAATTAAAAAATGGCAAAAGTATGAATTAAATGAAGCAGATATGTTGAAGAAAAGAAGCATGGCAATCTCACACACACACACACACACACGTATTCTTATATTAGTTTATATTTACATGAATAATAAATAATATTAAAACATTGTTACTTGTTTTCTTCTTAGTTTATTCATCTATATATGATCTGTTTACTTTTTTGCATATAGACATATACGTGTGATATGGTTTATGCATATGCTTAAATTCGCTAATACTGACAATTATTCTTAGGGTGAGTGATAAGGCTGTATTTACTTGCATCTTAAATTAAAATGTGCCAAATATGTAACAAAGGGTTTCTGAAGAAAAAGGTTTCTCTTTATTTGTGTTTGTTCTTTAGTTTGTTTTATGTTTTTTTCTATAATATTCTACTTGTTTGTAATAACTGAAGCCATCATTCTTTGTTGCTCATATTATTGAAAATTGTTTGTGTTGTGGATCATTTGAAACTGTGGTTTGTCCTGTTGTTGGGAAGATGGGAATCCTCCTCCTTTTTATTTGGGTGCCAGTTTCTGTCAATGTATGATTTTGATGATCAGGTGATCTACTTAATTAAATAATGGAATCACCTGTGCTTGCTCACTGGTGATCTCTGTTCAAACTACAGTTTTGGCAGTGATACTTAATTCCTATACAAAAGGATTTAATCAAATTTGAGTACAGTTGCCTATAAAAGAATTGATTATAAACTAAAAATCTTGGCTAACTTTAGGACGAAATGGTAATCAGAGAAACCTGTAATACTTGAATGAAGTGTTGAATGTGGTGAAGAGAGATGATTTCTTGTTGAATTTCCCATTCCAGTAGCCATTCTTGCTAAAAATCTTGGATCCTGCAAGCTCTAGTTTGGTATTTTTTGATATTGGTGTTGAATAGTGACCTCATTTGATGACACTTGGTCTGGATTTTTAGGGTAAAGGCAGATTCACAATTGGCACATTGGATTTTTCTTGTTCTATGATAGAATTTACCCAATCTATTGGTTCAGTCACTTTTACAATGATCATCTTTTCTTTAATTTCTTTTAGCTTCTTAGTGGATTTATGAGGATTTCTCTTGGAAAATGGATCACTAGCTTGCATTCTGGATTTATATTTATATTGCACTCAAAACCTTTGAAACAACTGATTTGTGTCAAAGAATTCTTGGATACTTTTCTATCAATTCAAACCAAGGATTGCTGATCCATCAAAGTCAGTTACTTTGAATGTGCATTTGAAATTCTGCTTATGTCTACTGATTTTTTTTTTTTTGTTTTTCATAATTGGTCTAACTCTTTTCCACCAAATGCTATTGGTGTGATATTGTGACTTGCTTTCAGGTAAGTGTCTTCTATATTTTCCAGGAATATCTGCTGATACAACTTCAGTGGTGGTACATTGCTTTATGTTTCAGTGTCTACTTTGACTTTCAAGTTATTGGTTGTAAGATTATTGTTCACCTATTTTGTATTTTTATCATCTTTTTATGGAGTTAATTATACTTAATTCTGATGCCTTGTATTCATCATTCTTGTAATCACTAACACAGTGAATTTTCTGTCTTTAAAGCCGCACCTTCTGTTTTTTTGTTGGTTAAACATATTCTTTGCTTTGACACATGCACTACACTGTCATCCATAGACAGGATATTTCCATGGATTTGCTTTTTCATGGGGTATCTTGTGCAATTTCTCTTTTATTATGGCATCACTTTTGTCATTACCTACGGTCAAATCATGCTGAAACGCTGGTTCTCGTTCGATCACCAAAGTTAAGTAGTATCAAGTGTGGTTAGTAATTGGATGGGAGACTGTTGAGATGACCAAGAACGCATCCTGAATGCTGAGCAGAGTATTGTGAGGCAGGAGGATTTCTTTGGTAACAAAGAAAAGAATACTGAGATGTTACTTGACATCTGTCCTTCTTTACGGCAGCAAATGTTGGATAATTTCCTCAAAGATGAAGAAGAGGCTCGAGGCAAAGCGGATCTACAGAAGGATGCTAAGTATATCATGGACTGAGTGTGTGAGCAACAATGAGGTCTTAGAGAGGATGCAAATAAGGAGGAATCTTATACTTAACATCTGGAAGAGGCAGCTGAAGTTTCTGGGATACACAATGAGGAAGGAGAGTTTGGAGAGTCTGATACTCACAGGTCGGATAGAGGGAAAGGGAGACAAAGGAAAGCAATGCATGGCAAACCTTACTTAAGTGGATGACAGAACGTGGTCTGGGGAAGGTGGCAGAGGGACAAAACTTATTGAGAGCTACAAGTGATGGGGGAAGGAGAGAGCCATGATCGCCTATGTCCTGAAAGGACATGGCACATAAATAAAGAAAGATTATTGTAAACAACCTCCTACAATCCAATATATGTTTTGGCTTTAAATAACCCACAAAGAGTTGATAAACCATAAATAACAATCAATCCTGTCATTTTTCTGCTGTGTATCTATTACTTCCATGGCTACAATTTATTTCTTTGTGGCTTTTGAATGCCCTGAGTGTGTCCATTGCTTCGGTTATGATAGGTCCCCAGTTCTGGTCCTGATTTGCACTATGACTTAGCCTTAAATAGAGACAACCATGCACTCGACTCAAGTATTCCCGTGAATCTGTTTATAAAATATAATCTATTGTAGGACTTCAGATTAAGAACTTTAGATGAGAATTATATTAATAATTCTACAGTACAACATAATGTTGGCTTTTACACATTAGTCACTGGTGATGTCTGATGTTAAATATAACCCTGTGTGTAACGAGATATGATGTAGTCATTGGACCATATTTTTTTTTTTAAATGAAAATGAGAATGCCCTGCTTTCCATTACTAAAATTCCTGAAAAAAATACAGTATTGCAGGTGGCTATGTGTGACAGAAATTGTCATGGTTGGGTTAACTTCAGTTATCTGATATGATTCTGGTGTGTTCTTCAAGTCGTTATCATATGCGTGTTTGTCATACCTGCATATTTGTAGATACAGTGTAACCCGGATATAAGAGAGTTGTCGGGACCGGAGAAGAAGTCTCTTATATCCGGGTTTGGTCTATTTTATATATATTAATACAGGCTCTAATTTGGGACCAGAGAAAATCTCTTATATCCAGGTTTCTCTTATATTCGGTTTTCTCTTATATCTGGGTCTATGCATATTTAGGCTGGAGGGATGTGTGCTAAGAAAGGAGTGAGAAAAAAAAGCTGTGCTAGAAAGACAGACATGTCTTTCACATGGGGAAAGTTGCAGTCCATCTTTGTTCCATGATGTCATTCCAGTTCCCTAGCTGTTTTCAATTATGTAGGTCAATTTCTGAAGAAATTAAAGTTAGAAATATTTATTTCGTTTTGTATCTTTGCCCATATGGTGTGTGATTCAGGGAAATGCTGTATAAAAATTAACAATGATAATGTTATGGATGTTTTAATCTGTTAGGTGCTTATGAAAATTCTGACTCAAGTTTGGAAAATTATTTTTATTTGTTTTCTGCTAAAAAATGTGTTGATTAATGAAAAGAAATCTCATCTAAACATTTTGCACACATCTGCCACTGGTCCAATTTCAATAATTCATGACACACAAAAGCCCTAGAAAAGTTAGGTGCAGAGAACGACTTTATAATAATTTGGTATTTACTTGATTAGTATGACTATATAATGGGAAATTATGTAACAAAAATGCTTCATTAGTGCAATTTAATTACTGAAATATAATTGACAATTTCCTCAGTGAAATGAGTTGTATTCAAACAAAAAA